CGAGTCAGGGAGCAGTGAGGGAGAACAGAGGGAGGCTGTCCGTGATGTATGTATGTGTAGGGCTGCGAGGAGGAGGGAGCAGCTTTGGAAAAAGGGTCACAGAAGGAAATAGGAACAGGTGGCTATTGATTGGCCCCTCCCAGAGAGCTTATAGGTGGGGCGACGGGAGGGGAATTTTGCAGGAAACAACAATTTACTGATCCAGCTGTAGAGAAAGATTGGGAGATTTTCATGAGTTCAAGCCTTGTTTCATAGAGATAGCTTTTTGGGCTCCCAGCCAAGGGGTTGCTTATCACTTAGTTGTGGCAGACAGCCAAGTCTGCGTCCATATATATTGTAGAGGCTTGGGACAGAACACTATTGTTGTAAAGGTATGTTACAATGACCTTGAGGGATGAGGGGAAGAGATGCTACCTGGGAAATGATAAGATAATTTCTTCTTCTGATCGTTAAGCCCCTGGGGACGCATCCCACTTTTGTCTACTCCTTTTCTAGGCAACATCTCCCCCACTTGCCCCTCAAAGTCATTGTCATGTACCATTACAACTGCTAACAAGATTGCTAACAAAGTACATGATTATCTTGATTCATGTGAACTTCTATGCTACACAAATACGGCAATCCATGCAATGGATAAACAGGAGAATGGCAGCTAGATTCCAAGACATTGCTGAAAAAAAGGCTACTGTGAATTTGATTTCAAAAAAATTAAGAACTGATGCCATCTAAGGGATCAGTTCGCTCATTTATTGAATATATATTTCCAGATTTCATCCTGGACCTGGGTCTTGACTTACTGAACTCTAAGGGCAAAGGGGAATATAGAGGACAGCATGGTTATTAGTTATATTGGTTTAAAAAACTGACAATTTCACTGAAGCATTTGTGAGCCTCAGTTGCTCATGAGTTGGGTTGAGTAAGGATTTGAGTCTGGGTTGTGTAAGGAGTTTATGAGAAGAGAATTGGAATGAAGAAGTGAAGATGCAGGATGAATTCCAAATATTATATCTCTTCATTAGACTCTTTCTGGATACACGAGGTTGCCTCCCTCTTAATGGACAATAAAAGACCCACCAACAATTGCTGAATTTGAAATCTTATCAGTTCTAATAAACATAGTCTAATATGATACAGTGTAATCTAATAAGTGAGGCCTGCGCGCATGCTTGGGGTGAGGGCATTGCACTATGGGTGTGGGCACGTGCACGCTCTCCCCCCACGCTCCCCTCCATGCTTTTGGCATGCCTTGAGAAAAAGATTAGCCATCACTGCCCTAAACAGATATACTTAGAGAGAGGGTTGGAGTTCTTGTTTTCTTGATGGTTAAATTGGCTGAAAGTAGGCCATTTTACTTTACAGGTAGTCCTAACAACAGTAATTTGTACTGGGAATGCTAAGTCATGCAATCACATTACATCATGCTTTATTTCTAAAATGCAATGTGGTTGCTTTGCTAAACATCGCAATCATGGCAAGTTCACTGCCATCATTATGTGAGGATCACGTCCATGTGAGAAATTTTGGGCCTACGGGTAGCCTATTTCTCTGAAAATAAGACCTTCCCAGATAATAAGCCCAATCAGGATTTGAGTGTATGCGCTAAAGTAAGCCCTCCCCGAAAAAATTGCAACACAGCAGCAGGCACGAGCTGACCACACTCGCAGCCTCCTGCACCTCAAAAATAATAAGATCTCCCTGAAAAATAAGTGCTTATTTTAGGGATCAAAAGATAATAAGACCCTGTCTTATTTTTGGGGGAAACACTGTAGCTGTTACTAGATGGCAAAGACTTGCCACATTGATTTGTATCCTTTCCTGCCAGATTCCCCATTGACTTTGCTTGTGGAAAGGTCACAAATAATGATCATGTGACTGAAGGACACTGCAGCCAAATCTCATATCACAATCACATGATCATGGAGGTACTGCGAGAGCCAGAACTTTGAGGAGTGATTGTAAGAACCATTTGTTCAGCGCTGTTCAGAGGTGGGTTTCTGCTGATTCGCCCCAAATCGGGCGAACCAGTAGTGGCGGCAGTGGGAGGTTCTGCCCAGCCACTGGACGCTTGTGCACATGTGCAGAAGCATCACGCAAGCACATGAGTGTGCACATGTGCATGAGTGAAACGGTAGTAAAATAAATTGAAATCCACCACTAGTGCTGTTGCAACTCTGAAGTCACTGAAGGAGTAGCTGATAAGCAAGGACAACTTGTAATGCCTATGATCCAACAGAATCAGTTGAACACTGTTCATTCTTACCATCTCATGGTCTCCAATTGCATTGCTGTATCTTTCGCAAGTGATTTTCTCAAGTTTTCTTCATGTAATAGACATGTATCGATCAACGATTTCTCCAGCCTTTCTCACTTACAATGCAAAATAAAAATATAATTTATTAGGATTTTTAAAGAATCCTAGCTGGCATTTATAACCTTACAGCAGCATTTGCATCTTGCAGCAGGCCCTATGTATTTGTTAGACACACTGATTCATTACACAGCTGACCACATTATAGCCTAGCCCTAGTAAATTGTGAGGTGTCACTGTGGCTGTTTAAACAACCTTCAACATAGTTAACTTAATTAATTCTGACTTTGTGTGAGTCATAAGCTGCCCTAACTGATTAGGTCTGGATAACACAGCAAGCTAAAATATTAGTTTTTTGCAATTCTGCCTTTGTGCAAACTCAGCTTGTGAGCTTCCCACTATCACTCAATTTCACACAGCTTGTACAAACTTCAATGCTCTCTTCAAATTCCCATCATTTAGTCTAGTCCAACATACCAGAGCTAAGAATGCTTCCTTAGCTAATCTACTACTTTCTAATGGCATGTGACTATCATCAAATCAACAGGTTGCCTCTGATACTTATTACATGCTGATAGTTTGTCACACTTTTTCCTAATTAGTATCTTCCAAGTGTGTGGGACCTACAATCATCTAGCCACTTAGAGGCTCCAGTTTGGGGAATATTAATCTACAGTTATAAACAAAACAGGCCACTGAAATTGAGAGCATAGATACTGTTGATAGAAGTGTGTGGCCTTGTTTCCATTCTCTGTAGGTGGAGTTGGGAGAAGGAAGTTTTCCTAAATATAAGATTCTCTTACACTATTATTACTATTTCATTAAATTTATATGTTGCAGAGCAATTACGTTATGTAAAACTCTTTAATTCAGATACATCTAGAGACGAAAAACTTCAGGAATCTGCTACCAAAATAACTGATCCCAGGGCCTAGGTTACAAAGTCAAGCCATAACAGGGGCAAATCTCATCCTAATTGTTGCCAAGAAATCTACAAGGATGTGTAAAAGAAAACACCAGAAGTTGAATTTTTTTTCAGGACAATTACCTATATCTTAGTGTGTGTGTGTGTGTGTGTGTGTGTGTGTGTGTGTGTGTGTGTATGCTGATAAATAAATAAATATAACACAAATATAACAAAGGCAACAGTAAAAATATTGGATTTCTTGCGTGATGGACTCTTGTGACGAGCCGATTGACAGA